GCAGCCGCACCCCACCTCTCCTGTCCCCCTGCTCTTCCAAAGTGAGACTAAGTCAAAAGACCCGTTTATTGAGCACCTCCTGTATGCGGCACCCCTAAGGGGTGACCTTGGGTCGGGGTCACAACCTCCGCCATGTTCTTTCTTCCTCTGCAGCCTGAATCTTGGCCAAGGCTCAGGGAGGGGGCCAGCCAGTGGTTTCGGGGCAGAGGAGCAGGGCCCGCACAACACGAGTGCCCACGGGTTCCACTGCGGGGCACTGGGTAGGCCCCCAGGAAGTTTCCTCCGACCCTCAGCTCCATAGAAGAGTCCAGGACCGGGCAGATGGCTGTGTGGGGCTCAGGCAGGGCCCTGGGAGGGGACTGGGCCTGAGTGGGACCCAGGTGGGGCCCTGGGTGGACGCCCCTTGTGGCCAACCCTGCCGGCCTTCTGTCGCTTCAGCGTCTCCTCCACCTTCTCCTTGAAGCGCCGGTTCTTCTGCTTGATCTTGGCCAGCTCGGCCTTGCGCTTGGCCTCCAGGTCAGGATCCTGGTACAGAGAGGACCAGGGGACGGCTGAGCTGGCGACCCCACCCAGGGAACCTAGCCACCCACCCCTACCTGTGGGCTCGGCCCTCACCTTCCCCTCCAGGATCAGCTGCTTCCGTTTGTTGATCTCCTTTTTTTCATCAAAGTGGGCCGCCTCCAGTTTCTGGTGGAGGGAAGCGGGGTAAGGAGATGCCGGTCATGGAGGCCCCACCTGGAAGGGAGCACCACCGGCTCCGGAGAGCACTTTAGTCCCCGCCCGCCTCCGACACTCACGATCTCACACTCTCTTCGCACCACGTTGACCTGCGTGAGGATCTGCAGCACCTCGGCCTCTTCCACAGAGAATTCCTCTAGCTTCTTCTCTATGGGGACAGTAAAGCCGGGGGTGGGGGTGGGGAGGAGACGTGCCATAGAGTGGGAGTTCAGCCAAGTAGTGAGTTCCCCATGCTGTGGGGTATGCAAGGCCATCTGGGGTCATATCAGGTAAGGGCCAGGTGGGCAAGATCAGGGATTTCTGAGCTAAGGAAGGTATGGACTGCTGTCTTTCAGTCTCACTGTCGCCCAAGCTGGAGTGCAGTGGCACTATCTCGGCTCACTGCAACCTCCACCTCCCGGGTTCAAGCAATTCTCGTGCCTCAGCCTCTCTTTTTTTATTTTTCGGTGTTAGCAGCATTATGAGTTTAACCATGAATATTGATTTCTTGGAAACAGTGTCCTTTAAAGTCCAGGTACTTCTATCTTTCTCTTTTTTTGAAGACAGGGTCTTACTCTGTCACCCACGCTGGAGTGCGATGGCTCAATCACAGTTCACTATAGCCTCTGCTCAAGCAATTTTCCAACCTCAGCCTCTTGAGTAGCTGGAACTACGGGCGTGCGCCACCATGCCTGGCCAGTTTCTGTATTTTTTTGGAGAGGCAGGGTTTCTCCATGTTGCCCAGGCTGATCTCAAACTCCTGGGCTCAAGTGATTCACCCACCTCGGCCTCCCAAAGTGCTGGGATTACAGGTGTGAGCCACCGCGCCTGGCCTTCAAGTCCAGATGTTTCTTTTTTTTTTTTTTCTTTGAGACAGAGTCTCAGTGTCCCCCAGGCTGGAGTGCAATGGCGCGATCTCGGCTCACTGCAACCTCTGCCTCCCGGGTTCAAGCAATTCTCATGCCTCACCCTCCCAAGTAGCTGCGATTACACGCGTGCGCCACCACACCTGGCTAATTTTTGTATTTTTAGTAGAGACAGGGTTTCGCCATGTTGCCCAGATTGGTCTCCAACTCCTGGGCTCAAGTGATCCGCCCACCTCGGCCTCTCAAAAGTGCTAGGATTACAGGTGTGAGCCACCGTGCCCGGCCAAGTCCAATTGTTTCTAAATTTTAGGACAGTCTATGCAGTGATCAGAGATACCTTAGGAAGTGTCTCTGTCTTGGCTGCGTATGAAACTACTCCTAGAGGTTTTTAGCAGGCCCAGGCCCTGTCAGTGGGGCCTCTGACATCTCAGGGGCCTTCCACACACCACAGTCTGAGAAACCCAAGTCCCCTCCTGACTCGTGGCTTTCAGCTGCTGGTGGCAACTATGGGAAGTTTGTTT